TGCTCTCCTCTATGACTCACTATAGGACGAAGAAAACAAACCCAACATACTCATTCACATCAGGTTACTTTTCGTAATCTACAACCGCACACTACGCTCTCGCGTCATCTATCCGTTTGTTGTTATGTGGGCCACATCCGTCTTCCCGAGACAGATCCCGCTCCCAGTTCCACGCATCCCTACAGTACATTACACTCACCCACGCCGAGGGACCGGGCGGACGCGCACTCTCACAGAGAAGATACACACACACACACACACACACACACACACACACACACACACACACACACACAAGTACACAAACGCACAATCTCGCTGCAACCCGACCACAAGCCTCACCTGCTGCTGTTGAAGATTGGGTAGGCGTGGATCTCAATCAGATCGCCGTTGAAGACGGGGCGCAGAAAGTCCACCGCTTCCAGTGACGCCGTCACAACATTCGAGCGGCAGTGCTTGACTGTCGTCACCCCGGCCGCCGTGTCCATCAGCTTCATGACCGTGCCAGCCTGTGCCAGCCCGTTGCTGTGGCAGTCAGACGGAAGAATGACGTGGATGAGCGTGGCCTGGCTGTCGGTGATGGGGTGCGTTGCATCCGCCTCTGCGCGTGTCAGCCTGTCCTGGCACTGCTGCTCATATTGCTGCTTGCCCTCGGCCGCTTGCTCCTCAGACTCAAACGCCAGCTGCGGTACGGGCAGCACGGGCGCGTTGATGTACAGATCGCGCGTGTTGTTTCGCTCCAGCACTGACGTCGTGTGCTCCACATGCGGCGTGTACTCCTTCACCACATACCACGCACGTGCCTGCAGGCAGGAATGGGGAGAGAGAGAGAAAGGAAGAGGAAGGACGTGAATGCCTGCGTTGGGCGCACTGGACAAAGGGTTGTCCATCACTGTAGACTGTAGATGGGACGGAAGACAGCAGGCACGGCAAGAAGAACACAAGCACATACAGTCGCACACACTTTCACACACACACACACGATCATACGCACCTTGTTTGTGGTTCTGGTTTTGCCTGTGAGGACATTCTCTGCCTTGACATCGACGGCAACCTCGATGGTGTGAGGGGACGTGTACGTCACCTTGGCGTCCAGTTGCGACACTTCGCCAATGAACATTGGCTGCAAAAAGTCCACGCGCTCAATGCGCGCCAGACTGGCCACGCCAACAACACCGTCCTCAGCGTTGGCATTGTAGTACTTGGTGGCAGCCGCCCACCCGGCCTGGTCGATCATATGCAGGATCGTGCCGCCGTGCACGTTGCCAGCGGGGTTGGCGTCGTCTGTCATGGATGGGTGGTATGTTTGTTGGAGGAGGGAAGGAGGTTTGGAGAGAGGTGAGCGTGGAATGCTCACAACGGCAGCGGTACTGAGACTGAGGAATATGACAGAGACAAAGGCAGAGGACATGACACAGACCAACACACACACACACGCACACACACACAGGTTTACGCACACACAACACACACACACACACACACACACAGATACACATTTACGCACACACAACAACACACACACACGACACGACATGACACAGACACCCCACCTGGCAGCATGAGGCGGGAGATGTGAGCGGTGGCGGGCGGTGCGCCGGGCACTTTTTCGCAGTGCGCCATGCTGAGGAATCGAGGGCGAGGAAGCGTGGGCACGAGCGAGCGTCGATCAGATGCGGGGGAGGAAGATGAAGGTGTGCTTTGTTGGCTGTCGTGCAGCAGGTAGCCTCCCGTCAGCGCAGCGGCGGAGCCCAGCGACAAGAGGACGGCGGCTGTTGTGCGGTTGCTGTTGCTGTTGCTGTTGGCGACGCTGGCTGGCGTTTGCTGGTTGGAGGACGACTGGGAGAAGCAGCGGCGCGGCTGTTGTTGGTGGTGCTGTTGACTGTGAGAGCAGTGGCAGGAGGCGAGGGCTTGGGCAGAGCGGCGAGGAAATGAAGACGCACGGGCGAACCACGCCAATGGCCGAGACGCGCTGTTCACCAACATCTGTCGTGTAGCGCAAAGAGAGAACAAAAATACGCAAACAAAAGGGTGAGTCGCCTGCTTGCAAGGCACAACACAGAACGCGCATAGCGTCATGCCATCACATCACACCATCACCACAACATCGTAGACAGAGCACCAGCACACCAGCACGTTGTGCAAGTGTGTCTGTGTTCTGCGTGGTTGGGGTTGAGCATCGTGTCATGTGTGCTCACTTCACCACCACTCTTGCACTGCAATTGGATGCAACCGAACGGAACGGAAAGAATGGCACATATGCAATCTCTCAAGGGCATATCCGCCAAAGAGATGCACGCCCGGGAGGCGCGTACACACGCATGCACACGCATTGTCTCCTTCCATTCCATGGCGTCATCCAGCACCACCACCACCGTGCCCCAAAGTCAAACTCGTTCATGATCATCGTCATCATGATGCTGCTGCTCACCTTCGTTGCTGTGCTTGTGTTGGTAAATTCTCAGTTGGTAAAACGGGTTGAGTTGGTAAAATGGGTTGAGTTGGTAAAATTATGACAAGAAGCCAGAAACAACACAGCACAACAAAGCGAAGCACAGCACAACGAACACACACGCACTCAGACACAGCAACAGCAATGCGGGAGCGACGGCGGCGTGTGCAGCAGCAGGCTGGCGAGGCAGATGTGACAAACAAGCTGCTGGAGGTGCGGCGGGATCTTGAGCACAGCGTCAACCAAGGCCTCTCCTCCCTCGACGTGCTCGGTGTGTGTGTGCGTGTGTATGTGTGTGTGTATGTGTATGTGTATGTGTGTGTGTATTCGTATGATTCACATCATCCTCACGCCGCCGCTCATTGTCCTCATCGTCACCCTCACCCTCCCGCTATCACAATCACCATCGTCGCATCTGCAGTGCAACAGAATGAAGAGCTGAAGAGGAATCGGGACACCACACACAAAGTCCAAACCGGCCTGACCACGGGGCTGGGTGTCCTCAAGACCATGTCGGTGAGTACACTGCGCGCACATGTGTGTGTGTGTGTGTGTGTGCGTCTGACATGACCTCTTGTCTTTTGCACAGTTGCTGTGACGTCACCCCCAGTCTTTCTCTTTCCTCTCTGCATTTTCTCACTGCTGCCAACACGTCCCCCCCACTTCTCCCACTACCACACATTCCCAACACGCAACAGCGCGACGAGAAGCTCAACTTCATGGCGGCTGCTGCCGGCTTCACGGCATTCTTTGTGGTGTCCTTGTTTGTGTTTTGGAGACGCACATCTCTCTTGTGGCCCGTGTTTGTGCTTGCATTCATAGCTGTTGTCGTCTTGTTCGTCTACATACTCCGTGCTTGCAAGGACTCCTTTCTCACGAAGCTCATCTGAAGCCAGCGTTGTCGTCGTTGTTCGTGTCGTTGACGTTGAGCTGTGGCAAGACGTGATGTAATGGGACACACTCTGTGTGTCTTTCAGATCTGTGCTTTCTTCTCGCCTCCCTTCCTCGTTCCCGTGTACTTCCACCACATCACCCTCCCCCCCCCCATCTTTCCTCCTTCGCCTCCCAGCCCCTCCTGTGTAACTGACCAACACCTGTAAGCAACAATGTACACACGATCCCTCATACATCCCCTTTTCAAGCAAGCCAGCACGCACGTACTGCACATGGGTGCCTGTTTCGAACGTTGACGGTTTAAGGACAAACACGGGCTCTGTTAACATCAATCCAGGTCAGTTCACACGGCATAAGCTAAAAGGGGCAGATCACACATTGCCGCAACCTAATCACAACCACACATCACTCCATCCAAACAGCTAGTCAACACACAGGGAGAGCGCGCGGGAGAACGACAGAGCGAACACTTGAAGCATGCAGCGCACAGGCAGCGCGTGCAGCCAGCGTCCACATAGCGCGTGCACATAGAGCGTACACATAGAGGATGCAGAGCACGCACCCCATCATTAGGCTGTCACACCTGTCACAACTGTCACACCTGGCACCATCATCACCATCACCGCCGCTACGTCCATATGGCGAGCGTAGACATGGTGCCGTAGCCGAGGGCGTAGATGAAGAAGTCGACCAGGTCAATGTCTGTGATCATGTCGTGGAGCAGGTGCCAGAACCCCATGTACAGGAACACCCCCGATGCGCCCGCCTGCAGGATGGGCACTGCCTGGTTGGAGTCTGAGGTGATGGTCGTCTTGATCCCCAGCCCAATGCCTGCAGACATGTGGAGAGGGGAGCAGGAGGTTGGGGGGGGGGTGTTGGAGTTGGGAGGGGGGAAAGAGGGACAGCGCGGATGGGGTTTCACCGTGTGTATCTACAGACACACAGACACACAGACACACACACAGACACTTGCGCAAACACATGTGCAGACACACGCACACACACAGACACACACAGACACACAGACACACACACACACACACACACAACAACAACACAGCAACACAGCAACAGCAGCAGCAACGCACCGATGCCGAGCGGGGTGGAGCAGCAGAAGAATGCGAGCAAGGGCGCAGCGCGGGACAGCGACCACCCTTTACGCACGGTGCTGTTGCCCAGGGCAAAGGCAGCAAACGCCTTGTGCGCCAATACAGCTACCAGGATGCCAATCTGTGTGCTCGGTCGACCCGTCAGGCTCAGCGCCTGTGACGCCAAGAGCGAAGGGGGGGGGGCGAGGAGAGAAGGGCGATGTTGGTGATTGGTGATTGGTGATTGGTGATTGGTGATTGGTGATTGGCGGGGGGGGGGGGTCAAAAGTGGAAGGAAACGGGGGGAAAAGGAGGCAAACACAGCAGCGTGACTGCAACGAAGCCTAAACACACACACACATATGGGACGAACCAGGCCTGCGATGATGCTGTGCGCGACGAGGCCGATGGCGAGGACGTACACGTGCAGCTGTCGCTTTGGCGGGGGCGCAGTGGCCTGCAGGGACGCACGCGCCAGGTGGTGTGTGTGTGTGTGTGTGTGTGTGTGTGTGTGTGTGTGTGTGTGTGTGTGTGTGTGTGTGTGTGTGTGTGTGTGTGTGCGCGCGTGTGTGTGTGTATGTGTGTGTTTTGCGAGAGGTAAGAGTGAACACCGTTCCAAACAGGGGTAGATTGAAACATCAGCGGCACGCAACCCCACACCTTTCTTCCCTCCCCGCAACACAACAGTACGCACGTTGGGTGCCAGTAGAGGGCTCTCGAGGTTGGCGTGGGGCGGGGGCGACTGGACGCGCTCCATCTGATCAATCCCATTGACAAGCGGCGGCGGCGGCGTCTGTCGTATGGGCCGGTGACTCACCATCTGCATTGCATCCACAACATGCACAAGGCACGCACAATACGCACAGGGTGAGCATTCACATCACAGACCCAGGGTGAGCATTCACATCACAGACCCACACACACTCACACATTCACACATTCACACACACACACACACACATCACGCACAAAAGCAGCAGGGGTTGCAGGCAGCGAACAACATAAGCAGCACTCCACCATCCACGTGCCTCGATAAAGAGGAGGACGATGAAGACGACCCCAGCCAAGCAGCTGGCAAAGGGGAACTTGGTGAAGGTGATGGATTCCGTCGCATCAGGTAACAAATGCACAAGCCCAGCCGAGCTCAGCACTGTTGGCGGCACAAACGGCAGGGAGGAGGGGGCAGAGAGGTGGAAGAATCGAACGTACAAGCACACACACACAAGCACATAAGGATGTGAGTAAAGTGAGGGATCTCATTGACACAACAAGGTGCTGAGTGCAAGGCCCAAACCGCTTGGATCGCGTCCAAGCAGTTACACTCAACATCACACACCCACACACACACCGATACACACACAATATCACACACACACATACACACACACACACACACACACACACACACACACACACACACACACCTCCAGCAGCAAAGGCGTTGCCGCGTACGAGGACGGTGCCACGAACTTCCTTATCCAACTTCTTGGTCATGTAAGGCAACAGGCAGCCCAGGGCGCCCGTGACAAGCGTTCCCGGTATCGCCCCATACTCCAAATCTGACATTGTGCTGCTGCTTGCGGTTCGTCAAGTGTCGAGCAAGCCAAAGCCTCCAGCTTCCGCCCCTGTTCCTTGTCCCGCGTTCCCACCTTCCACCTTCTCAAAGTCCGGTTCTGCTGAATCGGCTGTTTGATGTGCCTGATTGCCGATGATGTGGTTGATGTTGTTCACAACACAACATTCAACAATCAAAACTACCGCGCCAACCAACGGATCGATTGGCGCGCCGCACAGCTCACAAGAGTAACTGATCTGTGTTCGCGTGTAACCCCAATGCCCCAGCTCAGCGTGTTGTCATTCCACATCAGCCGACAATATGTAAATGCAAATCACCAGCCTGCCTTCACCATCGACACACACACGCAAGCACAAACGCTCTGTCTCCTCCAACAACCGCCTTCGCTTCTTGCTTTCGCTGCTTTTGCTCCGGAGTGATTTTGGAGGATCTGATGAAGATATTCGTGGAAATTCGACCTTGCATGGCGCAAAAGTCAAACCCTTTTCGCGGTGGGGACAACGTGGTTGGTTGGCAGCAGCGAGAGCACCGCACCCTGACGTGAGCTTGGCCGGCTGAGCTTGCTTGTGTGGTAGCCTCCAGCTCCAGTGCCCACGCATTTCCGCTGCCACCGTCGTGTGATCAACTGCCACACACACTCACAGAGAGAGAGAGAGAAAGCACCCGTGACGCTTTCTGTTAGTCTTGGGTGTGTTGCATTGCATTATTACACATCACCAACACACACACTCACAAGTGAAGCAGACTTTGGTGCCGCAGCACACCTACAGCACACCAACAGCACACCAACAGCGCCGCTCGGCTGTGACCAGTTTCCGCCTTGCTTGGAGATGGGTTTCGAGATGCCAGAGGGGTCAAATGCGCCTTCCGCTGCCTTTGGCATCAACAGTGCCGACGAGGAGCTGATTGAGGAGAGCCGCTACCAGCATGTGAAGAGCGGCTCTGTGGCCGTGCCACGACCCAGCGAGCACCCGGTGTGTGTGTGTGTGGGGGGGGGATTGTGTGAGTGTGAGTGTGTGAGTGTGTGTGAGTGTGAGTGAGTGTGTGTGTGTGTGTGAGAGAGAGAGAGAGAGAGAGTGTGTGTGTGTGTGTGTGTGTGCGTGTTGCTAGACTGGCTTTTTTGGCAATGGTTTGCAACTGTTAACTGACCCACGTTGTCCGTGTATACTCGTCTTTTTCGGTTTGTTCGCACAGCCTCGCTTCAGCTTCAAGACCTTGTGGGCATACACGGGACCAGGATGGCTCATGAGCATCGCCTACCTCGACCCAGGTGTGTGTGGGGAAGGAATACTGGTCTCGCAAGGCGTTGATGGTGGTGTGGTTACTGGGTGTTCGCGTGGCATTCACACTTCCCATTTGGTGCACGTCCCAACGCCCGCGTGATGAACTAGGCAACATTGAGTCGGACCTGCAAGCAGGCGCCATTGCCGGCTATCGGCTGCTCTGGGTGCTGCTGTGGTCAACCATTGCCGGGCTCTTCTTCCAGGTGGGTTTGGTGGTGCCTTTATAACGCTCAATTGAGCGCTCAGCTTTGGTGTTGACCGGCATATACTTTTCTAAAGCGCACACTGTCTCACATACAACACGCACACACACATGCAACCACACACTCACTCTCATTCACACACACTCTCTCACTCTTATTCACATTCTCACTCACAAACACACACTCACACACCGCCATGGCACAGGTGCTGTGTGCGCGGCTCGGCGTGACAAACGGGCGCCATCTAGCGCAGGTCTGCCGGGAGGCGTACGGGCGCCCCGCCAAACTCACGCTCTGGATCATGATGGAGATTGCCATCATCGCCAGCGACGTCCAGGTTGGTGGAGGGGGCGTGTGTTGTTTGTTTGTTTGTTTGTATGTGGTTGTGGTTGTGTTGTGTTGTGTGTGTGTGTGTGTAGCTGTTCGTGTATGTGTGTGTGTGTGTGTGTGTGTGTGTGTGTGTGTGTGTGTGTGTGTGTGTGTGTGTGTGTGTGTGTGTGTGTGTGTGTGGAGGTTGAATTTCCCTGCCTTCTGTCTGTCCCTTCCTGCTGCCTCATTCACCTCACCCCCACCTCCACACTCACTCCCTTTATGCCCCCTCCCCCTCGTTCGTCACGTCAGGGCACGTACGCGGGCCAGTTTGTGATGGAGGGATTCCTGCGCCTGCGGTTGGCGCCGTGGAAGCGCGTCGCCCTCACGCGCTCCCTCGCCATGATCCCCACCGTCGTGGTGTGTGTGGTGTGGTGATGTGTGTGTGTGTGTGTGTGTGTGATGTGGTGATGTGTTGTGTGTGTGTGTGTGTGTGTGTGTGTGTGTGTGTGTGTGTGTGTGTGTGTGTGTGTGTGTATGTGTGTGTGTGTGTGTGTATGTGTGTTCAGCAGCATGACCTGTCTTTCAACCTCGTCTCCTACTCATCCCGCTCCTCACGTGCACCCGTGTGCCTGCCCCTCCCGGCTCACCACCAAACACCACCCCGCCCCTCTTTCCCTTTGCGATCAGATCTCCGTAGTGACGAACAAAGACATCCTCAACCTCATGTTTGAGTGGATGAATGTCCTCCAGAGTTTTCAACTTCCGTTTGCGCTCTTCCCGCTCCTCCATTTTGTTTCTGTTCGGGGCATCATGGGCGCGCGCCGCCTCAAGGGCGCTTTGCTCTACCTCGGTATGACGCGCTGAAGGGGGAGGGGATGTGTGTGTGTGTGTGTCTGTCTGTCTGTCTGTGTCTGTGCGTGTGTGTGTGTGTGTCTGTCTGCCTGTCTGTCTGTCTGTGTGTGATTCATTCACAACCCTTCGCCATACCTCATGCTTGCTCACATGTGTTCCATCCCCCTCCCCTTTTTTCCATGGCTCGTCTGCGTATGTATGGCTGTCTTCTTCAACAACAGCGTGGACGGTGTGCGTGTTCCTGTTTGGCATCAACACGTACCTCCTCATCGATACGCTCCAGCAATACGCAACCACCTGGTGCGTGTGTCGTGATGATGTGTGGGCGTGATCTTGTGTGTGACTGTGGTGTGGTGTGCTGTGGTGGTGTGCAATCGTGTTGTCGTGTGGACGCCTTCCTGTATCGTCATCCGTTTGTGCTCTCCGTCGCTACCATTGTTCTCCCCATCCTCGCGATGCTCATGAACGGTTTTTCCCACCACCACTGCAACTGCCGTGCTGCAGGTACTACATTGTGCTGGTTGTGCTGGTGGTTGTGCCGTATCTCGGCTTCACCGTCTATGTCATCATCGGTCCTCTTCTGCCGGTCGGAGGAATGGCCCACTTTTACGAGGTGTGTATGTGTATGTGTATGTGTTTGTATGTGTGTGTGTGTATGCATGTGTGTGTATGCATGTGTATGTGTGTATGTATGAGGAGTTGGGGAGCCCATACTGGGTCGTGCTGCCACCAACCATCTGCGTCACTGTTGAACACGTGTCTTGCGCACTCACGCATCAACTCATCATCCCGCCCTCCGTATTCTCTTCTCACCTACCTCCCCTTCCCCCTCCACTTGCTTACGCTCATCACCTCCTCCTTACCCCTTTCCCCCTCCCCAATTCACCACCACCACGACCACGACCACCACCACCACCACCAGATGTGCCTGCCGCCGGTCAATGCGTATTTGCACGACGATGACGACGAGTCCTTGGAGCCGGGACACATGAGCGACGACGAAGGGGTCCCGCTCCTGGCGTGAAGCCGTGATGCCGTGATGAACGCGCCGGGACATGGAAGGGGAGGAGCAGCAGGGGAGGGAATACCAGCGACACAGCAGCAGCACACGCTTCAGTTGTTGCCCTTCCCCTTCTCCTTCTTACTCCTTTGTTTTCACGTCATATCGCCAGCTGCGTTTCTGCTAACGCACACACACACACACACACACACGCGCATACACGCCTGCGCTTATCACTGTCATTTCTATTCAACGACGGCACCTGCTCGTCTGTTTCAGCACAAACCGCCATTCTGTTCGCTCATGTTGAGCCCTTGTGCCCTTATGCAATCATCGGTGACGTCCCTTTTTTCATTTTTCTGATCTCGTTTGTGTTCGTTTGGTTTTCCCGCTGCTGCACTGCTGCCAACAACAGCAGCCATCATCGCATTTATTTTCCTCACACACACACACACACACACATTCCAAGGGCTGTTTCGTTCTTCCTCTGCTTTCCCTACTTTGTCTTTATTTCCTCCTCCTCATTTCCTCTTGACGCTCCTCTCCTTCCGCTTTCCATTCTTGTTCTTGGGTTCTTGTTCTTGGCTGTGCTGTGCTGTGCGCACAACAGCACCCGTTTGTTCCTCCTCCGCTGTTTAGGTTCCGTCGCTTCGCTTAGCGTTCAGTCTATTCGTCAGTTCTAACGCATACCCCGCAGGAATGACACGCGAATGAATATGGTGGTGTGTTTGTGGAGAAGAGGATGAACGAGGATGAAAGGGTATGGGGGGGGGGTTGGTTGGCGATCAGGGTGTGAATGAGCACAACATTGACCAAACAGACAGTTGCGGTGAAGACGCAGACGCAGCACATGAAGGTGACGTGTTGATCAAAGGCACAGGAGGGAGGGGTTGTCGGTATGTGTGTGTGTGTGTGTGTGTGTGTGTGCGTGCGTGCGTGTGTGTGTGTGTGTGTGTGTGTGTGTGTGTGTGTGTGTGTGTGTGTGTGTGCATTTACATTCACAGTCGCGTTCACAACTGCATTCACATTCACAGTCGCGTTCACAACTGCATTCACAATCACACTGACATTTACGTCCACCCTCAGAGGCACACCACGTCCTCGGCGGTCTCCTCGGGCCAGGGCAGCAGGACCAATTTTCCGTGCGCACCGCCCACGTGCTCCATGACGTCAATGTGCGCCGTCGCGGCATCGTCGAGTGGAAACGTTTTCCCGACGTGCGGCACCAGCGCCCCGCTGGACATGCCTGCACCGGGGCGGAGAAGGGGGGGGGGGAGGAAGATAGGTGTGTGGGTGGGGGGGGGGTGTTTGTGAAAATGGGTGAATGAGTGAGTGACTGAGTGTGTGAGTGAGTGAGTGAGTGAGTGAGTGAGTGAGTGTATGTGTGTGTGAATGTGAGTGTGTGTGTGTGTAACTGTGTGTGTAACTGTGTGTGTGTATCACTGTGAGTGAGTGAGAGTGTGTGCGTCTGTGTGGTGTGTTTAGGTGTGTTTTACTGGGCATGACAGACCTGCGTCGATGGCGCAGTACGCAGCTTCCCACTCCTCGCGTGTTCCGCCTGCAATACAGAAGTGGCGACGGCAGTGGCGGTGCAAAACGGCAGTGGCGGTGTGGGCATACGGCATAGGCGGTACAGGAAGGTGTCCACACACACACACACACGCACGCACGCACACACACACACACACACACACACACACACACACACACACACACACAC